TCGAGGATTGTATGTAATTGTATATATATGAGTACAATGCAGTCCATGAGTTAAGATATATTCTCCTTTTTCTACCATGAAAAAAAATAAATTATTCTAGTTAATAAAAAAAAAACATAATGGTGTGCGTTTTAGTGTCTTTCTTTTCATTTTTTGGTACACGCCAAATCTCTCCCTCCGGCGCCCGCGGTAAACGTGGTGGCGACGTGTTTTTCCGTGTTTCGTCATCGCGGACGTGTAACTGTGTAAGTGAGTTTTACTGTTGATGTGAAGTAAACGTTTCTAAAATGCACCGGCAGTTTACTGAAGTAATAACAATCGACTGTTGACAAGGGATTGTCTTTTATAGCTTTACCTTAAATTTTTTTATATATTTTCTCCGATTAATTCAGAGATGTTTAAGCGAACTAGATGTTTTGAACGGTTTGTAAATATATTAGGGCAAATTTGAATATTAGTTTGAAAGTGATCTTTCGAAACTTTTAACACATCTGTTGTGACGAAGAAAAGATTACGAAGTACAAAATGGTCAGAAATTACAATAACTTTATAGTATAACGAATATAAGTAATTGTATTTAGTTTACAATTTTGTTACTGGATAATACAGTTAGGGTTCGACGTAAAACAATTGCATAACGTTTTAGAATATAATACTTGAGTATTTATTTTAAACTAATAGCTCTACTTTCTAGTAAGTACATACAATAAACAATTGACTAGATTTATTAAGTGGTAACATGAGGACGCGATTAATGCAAATATCTATGTCATTAACAGATTTTATGAAGTATCCTCCTTAGCAATATAAGCTAGTCGACCATTTATCGTTATTTCACTGTCCATAACAAATTCAAGATACATATAATCGTAGATACGTATCACAATTTACATAAATAATAAAAAACAAACCACAGCCATAACAGAAAAAGACAATTTTGTAAAAGGGTGTCATAATCTTGTTATGCCCTCTAAGAGGAAGAACTGTAAATTTTGCAACTCCATTCTTGACTGGAGCACTAAATTAATAGAAAATTTGTTTAAAATCATCACACACAGACACTTTTGTATTCTGAATATTTTAAACTATTATTTATCACAAAATGGATTCTCCACTGATTGAAGTTTGCTGAAGAAAACAATGCTTCATTATCAGCGCATTTTTAAAAAATGTGGAAGGTATGTAAAAATGTCTTTGGTATATTGTTCTTGTCCTTTCCCAAGATATTCGCATTCATATCTTGTCATTATGTTTCTGTTCATCTAAACAAGATTCTTGAGGTACACCAACAATCACATAATTGTCCACATAATAATTAATTAGATTTGGAAAACAAACTATAAGTTTTTGTATACGTTACGTTGTATTCGTCGTTCTATCGTGTGACACCAAATACGCTAAGTATTAGTCTATCACATCCGTTATTTTGGTAACACTTACCAATTAAGCAAGTTTTGTCGATCAGTTACGTTATGTCGGTCTAAGCGCGCTCACCATATCACCCAATAGCCGTTCGATGCTAACGTCACCTACCGTAGGTTTGAACAACAATTCTTGTAGAGTTGATCGACAGAGCGCTCGCGCTGAAGGTAACAACAGCAGCAATCGTCCAACCCTGCGCGAATCTCTTTCACAGAACACTGTAACCGTCTGTTCTTGTAAGGCTGTTATTCTTCCCCTTTCGCAAAGTCCTCGGGATTCTAAGGAATAAACAAGTTATTTTTCAACACAGACTACCCACGGGATAATATATCCCAGAGTATAATTAAAAATTCCAATTGGACAAATGAGCCGCTTAAATTGCACCGTTGCCCGTGTCAATAGTAGTTTCGGGTCTATTTTATAAGCTAAATCAGTTATTTCTTTTAAAAATAGGGATTATTCTGTCATTTGAGCGTTTTATTACGTTTTACAACGGTTATTCATTTTAACTCAGTTTTATCCCAAAGTGTAACCAAAAAGCGTTCGATGCTCTAAGGGTTTTTCAATGAAGTTGTATATGTGCGTGTACAGACTTAAGATACGCACAGATGTATTAAGTCTATATGCAAAAAATATTTATTACTTTAACTGTAGTTAAAAATTTAAAAAAAAATCTACAAAACTATATACGTACCCTTTTCTCTATAAATTATCTTTAACTAATCGTCAACTGGCCAAGAATGTTCCTCTGAAATTTCGTTCTTAAGAGCCACGTAATTAGCAATTCAAATATACCAATATGTTGGAAAAATGAAAACTAGAACATTCGACATTATTCGTCTACTCAATTTGTCATTTCGGTTTCTGGACTCTTTTTTTTAATGTCTACAATTAATAACGCATGTATTGGTTGAGAAGTCATTATTGAGTAAAATTAACCCGTGACATTATATGTATCTTAAGTCCGTTTTTGTTGTATTCTTAGATTATTATACTGTCTAATATATTTTTTATATTTTATTTCTTGTAAAAAACGGCGCACTCGCGATCATCCATGAATCCATACATTTTTAATATGGGAAATTGTCCATACCTGCTTTAAAAAGGACGATTGCCTTAAGACAAGCGTATTCTGAGTGGTCGACTCTGAGAAGGGCGCATTTTCCCAACAATTCCCTCAATCTCCTCACTTCGTCAACGAGTACTTCTTTCCTTTCGGATGGTGTATCACTGGATACCAATGCGACCTCTTCAACGGGAAAATTCCATTGTGCAGCTGTTAGGACGAACAGTTCACTCCAAGATTCTTCCAGGAGAATGGTCTGATCTCTGTACGGCAACTAAAAGAATATCGAAAGAAATTAAAATAAAAATTCAACTATAAAAGTTAAAATTCAACAAAAGTTTAAACCGTTGAAGTCAAAATTTAACAAAAATTTAACATATAAAAGTTGAAATTCAACATAAGTGTGAAATGCAAAAGCTACACTTCAACAGAATAAAAAGTTGATTTAAAACATAAAAGTTCAACTTCTACAGAACAAAAACTTAAATTGCAACCCGTGACAAGTTCATGTAGCAAAATTCAATCTTACTTTCGATTAAACCTCCATATAAGTGAAAAACTAATTTTTTTAACGTACCTGTAAAAAAGAATGAATGCTCCTAGCCCATCTGACTGCAAAGAACAGCAATTTCGCCGCGAATTCGTAGATATTTTCCGTGGGCAAAATCGAAAAACTGGTTATGTATTCTGGAGACGTAGGATTGATGATCGGATGCGCTAATCGGGTGTTCACTAAATCTTCTACAACACGAAATACACCAAACATGATTAGTTAAATAGGATAATAGGATTTCTAGAACAAAAATTAATCTAAAAGTTAAGTTTATACCTTTTACAAACTTCGTAGTGTCCGAGAAAATTAAATTTGAATATTTCTTATCACAAACGTTAATAATATCTGAAAACATGTGAATCGGAAGATTTTGAAAAGTCGCTAAAATATAAATAAATAAATTAAATGAACATAATTGGAGAATGCATTTTGTATTCCTGTATATATTCTTTTTGTGATATAGGAGAATAAATTAAGAAATATGTTAACTTCATTGATTTGATTTCTTATAACATAAATCTGAGAAAATCACTGTTTATATGTTCATTGTTGATCGATCGTTATTGAAGAAAGTTTTATGTATAAAGATCCTTACCTTTCGGCTTTGTTCTAGTTTCTACCGACCCAGCCTCTTCGGAGCTGGTCACTTCGTCTTCTTTGGCAGTCGTCACTGTTAGTGGTTCTGACGATGATCGTTGCAAAAAATGTGTAGCTGCGAATTATAAAGTAGTCTCGACATTTCTGTATACGGCGAACTTGCAAAGGTGACCTATTTCTACAAATTCTTGTACTTACCGACCGATGGCGTGAACGCTTGCGTTATCGTTGGTTTGAAGGGAAACAACGCTGGATATAAAAGAGGATGATACGGATGGTTGCTTGTAGCGTGATACACGTGCGGAATTCCTGAATAAAGTCCTGTAGGACCTCTCCTTGCAGCCCCGACCAGCGAAGAAGTACTTCGTGGAGCTCTTTCGTGTTGAACCGCTATAAAAATTTCAGATTTGTTGTATTTCAAAATTAAGTATTTAAATGGGCCACAAACATTATTATCATTAAAACGGAAAATAATAAGAGCCAAGCTACTCGTATTTATACAAAATGAGTTTTTTATAAAATTGTTTATGAAAAGATTTGTTTATGGTAAAATTGTTATTCATTTATTTAAAATATTAAGAAAGAGTAAGAAAGATGTTCAAATTATCCATGTAATTGGTATTAATGTAATTAATAGCGTTTATACAATTATGGTTTAAACGATTGGAATTATTATAGAATGTTTGATAGTAATTAGCATGAAGGTGAGTATATACAATGAAGGAAATTTCTTTCTTGAATATCAGAGCAAGTAGTTGTCTATAATTGATTATAATTATCTATAACTTATACATCCTGGATATCTATAGTAATTGACTTACTTTTAATTCGTTGTAGAAAAATGTTACTACTATACTGTTGCATTTATACCATTTGTAATTCGCTTGTATTCTATTGGCAAAAGTGTGTTAATCATTTACGAATGTGCTATGTTATAGAAAAATACAAAACCATCCTTTCCTAATTACTACAACTTCCAAAATATTAGTCACCGTCGTTTAATATGCTCATTATAATGTCTCTTTAACCCCTTGCCCTACAATGAAAAGTGTGACTCATAGCGAAGATTTTCAAATTAATTTAACCAAAATCAATATTCTCCATTTCACATGAATCAAAGAGAAAGATTATTATGCTATTCTCAATATTTTACTTTCAAAGTATAAATGAATATTATATTTATATTTGTATTATTAATATATTTTGTTATATATATTATTAATATAAGTTAATACATTACTACATATTACTTATGTTTATGATAAACATAAACTATGTATTTTCAATAAATGAAACATTTCTTCGCATTTTTTGCAAATTATTAATAAGACAATTAGTTAGCCGATCTTAGCCGCAAAGAAAATCATATGGCAAGGGGTTAATAACTCCCCCAATCATAAGATTGAGAAACTCTCCGGCATTTCAATCAAAATAAATCTAACCCCGTGAAATCTGACCAGCCTATTCACATAATTGATCCTTTATTTTCATTTTTTCACCCAGTTCAACGAGAAAAACTCAAGTTGCGCACTTTTAATGGGCACCTTTCGTCCCGTCCCTCGCTAATTGATATCTCTGTGCAATCAAGTGTTTGGATTATCGGGCTGTCCTAGCTGGGTTCGAAGTGTTTACAAAAGCTGTGAACGCCGGGCTGCTCGTGACACCGCTCCACCACTCGCGGGGTCGGTTAAATTTTCGGATTCTTGCGTGAGCAAGCACAAGTGTAGAGTTTCATGTGGGTGCGAGCACCCCTTTTTTGATAGCTCCTTCGTTTGTGCGGGGACGAACGTCTCTCCATGCATTGTAATATTGTCAATGTTAGCTATGCGTATATTTGTGGATACGAGAGTCATGAATCGTGCGGGCTCCTATCATACGCAACGTTTCTGTAGATGGAAAATTGAAGTTCTGAACTCCAAAACAGTACAAGTTCACTTTTTAACACTAGATTTATGGACATTTACTGTATAGTTTGTTCTATCGTTTTTGGAAAAATGTTCGTTCATTTAGATTTTAGGAAATAGAGGTTTAAAAGTGGACAATTAAGACACATATTTGCGTAACTGCCCGAATCAAAATCGACCCAAAATTTTACCAAATACTGTTTATACATGTCAATATGAGTTAAATTGACTTGTTCCGTAAATATAGTGTTAACGTTATTCATATGAGTTATTGATGTATCCATTTTCAGCTTATTCCGACCTATTTAATAATATTAAAAATGTACACGTAATGAAGATGTGTGTGTAGCCAATGCTTCTAGCAATCATAAACAAAATGGATAATGAATAAATGAATGAAGATATAAAGAAAGATCGATTTTCTCAAAATATTGATTGATTGACTTGTGTTGTTTCTGCATTCATGGCTTCAATTATCATCTTTTGCATAATCAATCAAAAGGTTTGCTTTCGATGTAAATCGATGTGAAAATGTTAAAACAAAATAGCGATCCGAAGCAATTCAATTTTTCACGAAAACATGACGAATTGTGTAGAAGAAAATGGACAACTAGATACGTGAGTAGTTGGTTGCTAACATAAGGGTTAATTGCTGGAGATTATGTTAGGAAAATTCTTGTATTAAGGAGCAATTATTCAGTTAATAATTTATTGATAGTTCAGTTAAGCTGCAGTATTGAGTAAACTTTTGTTCAGAGTAAACGAGTAAAAGTTCAGATTAACGAGTGAAATTGTATTCAAATAGAAATTTACCTAAATAATAAAGTATTTGTATTGATTTTTAACTAATTATGTTTTGTTAATTTCTCGAAATGTTACAGTGGACATTCGTTTAATTGAATTAATCGACAAATATGAATTCAACATAATTCAACTGGAATAATCTATTTAGAAAATACGCTTGGCAACCGTAGTACTAGTATTGCATGTTGAAGTGCAATTATTCGTTTATATTCCTTACATATATAGATAAAAGAAATTTAAGTTTTAATCACCGGTGAAACGAAGCGTACCATCTCGTTTCATGTTAACCTGAAGGCACTTGGTAAAACGACACGCTTGGCACTGATTGCGACGTGACACATCGACGATGCAGCGGCCACTGTCCTTGCAGATGTAATCCAAATTTCTATGAAAACGAACCAAATATTATATTATACAAATGAATTCTTTCATCTCTTCCAACGGAATACTTGTGTGCTTTGAATATTCTGTAATCTTTATAGTACATTCTTTTTTCTATGGAAATAGTCTGCTAAACACAGTAGTTAAAATTCTATGTAACTATAGTGTACAAATATAACGTAAAAACATTACATCATTATTTCACGATACTAATTGGATTTAAAACATTAAACAGTAAAACATTAAACTTATTTCAACCTTGAATCTAAATTTTGTTTACCTTATAGATACAGGAAAAATGATTTCAAAGAAAATTAAATGTTTCTTGTCGCAGTAACTCTTTCGAAATTTCAATCATTTACATACTAGTAAAAACATTTATAATTAATTAAAGTAGAATGATACTGGTGTCTCATAAAGTAAATTAATTAATCTTCTAGTATTTAACTACCTGTACTGTCCAGTCTATTAATATTAACTTTTTTGAATTTTTATTTGTTCTTATATATTATAAGTTATTATTTATATGAAAATTTAAATCACTTCTTTGTATAGACTTTCAAAAAAGTTTTTCAAACATTCGACAAAACTTCCTAGTGGTGACTATAATTTAGGGAAGACTTTCTAATTCGAGTTTTCCTGTTTTATGGGTAGATTTATCTCGAAGTCGGGACGGGATTAATTACCTTGCATACCTGCGGATTGACCGCTTAAAAAAACCACGACATCCGTCGCAGCTGGGCACTCCGTAGTGTTTTCCGGAAGCTTTGTCGCCGCAAACTTTGCACAAACTCTCAGCCCGGCTGTCCTCCATCTTGTCACCGGACCTATTCGTCATAATATTAGGGCATCCCATAAATAATACCGTTTCTTAACACCTCTCTTATTTTTAAAATATATCTTATTTGAAATAAATTTTAAATAAATATTGTTATTGTTTCATTCTACTTATTATTACTTTTAAAAATTAATTGCATTATCCATGGATAATGAAGAAGAATATATTTTAAATTAAAAATACTTTGTTTATATTCTTTTGAAAAAAATGAAAGTAAAAACAGAAAGAATATTAAAAAGAATTTTCCTTTATTGATTCTTTGTTAACGAGATATATGTTATTTGTAAGTTACATAAATTATAAGTGTGTATACATAAAATATATAATGCAGTAAAAAGTTTATTTAATGATCTTCAATCAATATTGTTTATAAGATATATTTATTAAGTAGGAATGAAACTATGCATACGCTCACCAAAAAAGGATATTGTTTTCACATTAAATAATAGTAGAAACAAACGACGAAAGAGACAGTTATTAACACTAGAACTATCACACCCGTCAAATATACGATTTTCAGTTTTCTTATCTCGCAATTATTAATATTTTTAAAGTGTTAAATATCTCAATCGATTATAAGAAATAAATAGTTTCTCTTAAATACTACAATGAATACATGAAGAAATCGATAAAAAATCTATTATTACAATTTTTATAAGGATTACACATTAATCATATTAAAAGTTCGGTAATTCTAATGTTAAAATTTAGTTTATGGCGATTTATCCAAATGTTAGTAAAAAAAGAACAGATAACAATGTACTATACTCTGTTAAGCTTAACCTTACTTCCTTTCTTACTTCCCTTTTCTCAAGAATTGTTCAGTATCCCTAGTGAAATGATGATGGCAGTTTTACCTTTCATCGAAGTATATAGACTTCTCATTACGTGCAATTTTCAGCAACGTGACTCTAGACACAATAATCGTGACAGTTCCTGTAATAGTTCGTTCAATGAAAGAACTTATAGACACCGAGCGACGAGTTGTTGCATATTGCACATTCCATAATAAGCGACTCGCGGATTGTTAAACATCGCTTACTGGCAAGTTTCGATTCCTCAATGCTTACGACTCACTGACTTTGAACTCATGAATTTTAGAATCTGTCACAGTAAATATAGCTGTAAAACCTCGCGAACATATTTCAATAAATCGAGCGAATACGGTATTTGTTGAATTTTCAGGATGAAAACACTTTATACGATTTTACCTTACTATTATCGCACGCATGCGAATTTTATGAATTTTAAACAGCCATTTAAATCAAGTTTTATTTTATTTTCTACTTCTTCCAACTTACATATTGTAATCTTTTTCTTAAATTTCTGGTGCCGTCTGAATTTAGAGACCTTTAACCCCTTGCCTACGGCAGAATTTTGTATCAGCGCGAATCTCTAATAAAAGTGTTCCAAAATTTAATTAATGAAATGAAATAAAGAAAAAATTAATGGGGTTAGTGAAATTTCTAAGGATTTATAATTAGTGTAAACAAATCAGATCTTTTTACTTGGTCCATTTTCCACAAGATAAGTCGTTAAAGACTAGAATCTAAAATGTCTTCATTATCTTTAGTGACATGTCAAAATTTCCAAGAAAAGAACATTTCGTTAAAAAAGAACAGGGGAATCGCAATACAAAGAATTATTTCTTAAAGTTACATTTTTTTAACACCAAATCATATCTCATGTATGCATAAAAATTATTAATTTAAGTGTAGGTATTTTCAGGAAATTTTCAATGACATAAAAATATCTACAGAAATGGCATTTAGACATGAACAGCTAAATACATTTTCAGAGTGAGTGATAAAATCAGCGACAACCTAGAAATTTCTGAAAACGTTCAAAAGAAGTATTCCAATCATCCACCAAAACTAATAGGTATACTTTTCCTTCGAAATACCGTCGCATTTTTACAATCAATAAAATTAGTTTCCGTTCAAATTTCAAATGACAGGTGTTATAAATAAAAACCACTGTACTTCTCAAAATGCATCGTAGATTTTCATAGTAATCACAAGCAAGAATTGAAAATAGTTATGTTATGGGTTACGGTTCTTGAAACAGTTATGAAGATCCGAAATAAAGTCATAACTGTTATTCGGTGAATTGATGTCTGTTTCGATTTTTAATATCCATTGATATTGATTCTATATCGGTTCTATAACTGTTATTTTTTGGTTTCGAAAGAAATGCAGAATCGAAACATGGAATCCAAATACAGAAACGAAAAATAAGTTATAGAACCGATATAATACCGGTTCTGAAGAACTGGAAGTGAAACCGATATAGCTCAGAACAAATATACCAAACAATAACAATTATGACTTTATTTCGGTTTTCCATAACTGCTTCAGTCAGAATCGATATACAGGGTGGACAGCAAAGCGTGATCAGCTTAGATTATGCTTACCATTCCTGTTTAATAAGCTTTAAGGATCTTGCAAAACTCTTCAATTACGAGTTCTCTTCAGTTTTTTTAGATTTAGAAGAAAACATCTGTTATGATGCTTGTCGAATTCGTCTCAGGCGACTTTATCAAAACTGGAGGTGACCTTGATAACTCTAGGGAAAAAAGGGTTGACAAAAAGTTTGGTAGAATCATCTTAAAGCTCTCCTTGAACCATGTTATTTTAGCTAACAAAATTTTCGATCGAACCGCTAGCAACAGAATAATCTAAGCTGATCACGCTTCGTGGTTCACTCTGTGTAACAGTTTCAAACAGTTGTGTTCAGAACCATTTCAACCCCTGATCACAACAAACAGTGTAATGTCTCAAAATCCCCGGCGTGGCGGCCCGAAGGTCAAAGTTAAAGCATCCTTTACCCTCTCGATGACTTTTGCAACCCCTTTTCAAGTCGACTCATAGATTCTCTACTTCCCGGACCTCACCTTGTCCTTCCTCCCTGTCCCTCCCTCGGGATAATGGGGTTCCCTCTTTGTCGAAGGCTCTCGGGGCGACGCCGCCGCGGTCTTTCCCGTTCTAATAGGACGTCGTGCCACCTGTACGGTTCACAGACTCAATAATGCATCGGTGACGTGGAGCATCGCTCAGCCTCGTCGATGGTAAACCACCGACAGAGTCCCGGCCGGATGATGCCGCACTCCGCCGCACCCCTTCACCCAAAGACCAGTTTCACCCGACACCGTCATTACTGCCACCGCTGGGAGATCTCTGACTTCTTAATAGTCCACCCCCTAACCTGCCAGAAGGGCGGCCCTCGCGTGTGTGAGCGTTAACCTGACATAATATTTTCATTGCCCAATGACCACCTCTGTCCTCCGCGCGACGAGAATGTGCTACATATATCATTGAAGCATACGGCTACTATCACGGGAAATCATTTCTTTCATTTCGCGTTCTTGTTCTCGCTAGTGAACGAATGACGGTGGTTACTGTGGAATAATTTTGTTTTTACTTCGTGAACAGTTGGTAGTTTGTTGGGTGTATTTGAGCGTAACTGCTTTTGATTATGAGTTATTGTCGCAGAGTAATTTTTGTTGAACTTTTTCATTTCTTCATTTTAGTTGACAGATAAATGACGATGATAACTGTCGAATAATTTTGTTTTTATTTTGTGGGCTGTCGATAGGTACTTAGATTGTTGATAGTGTTCAAGCGTGAAGAAATTCTCGTGTGTTATTTGTTGTACTGTAGATAATTGTTGAATATTTTAGTAAAGAATTTTTTAAATATCTATTATATATAGTTGTTTTTATTAGAACAATATATATGAAGGTCAATGTTATCGGTACGATATCCCTTAAAATACGTAAATATCTACGGGTGATTATTTCAAGGTAATGAATTGTAAAGTAATTTTTAAATCTACGATGTTCGAAATATTATGGAAAATAGAATTGCAGAATGTTTTGTAAAGAATAGAATTATATTACTTTTAAAAATCACAATAGAAAAAATTCCTTTTTTCAATTAATGTATTCATTTTATTTATTTTATTTGATTTTAATTAAAATTCATTTATCTCTAATTGTTTAAAATTTGCATTCTAATAATTATCATGAGTCAGAGTGTTGTACGGAATAATATACAACGTTAAATCGTGTTGGTTCTCTCTTACGTAGTCAGAAGGGAGCAAATTACTTAACTCTGTTTACATGAACATCAACCATCTTTTCGCATGCACGTAACATATGCCACATTTTCGACGGATACAAATTACCTGGCACTCGATACAACTGTGAAAAGTCAAATCCAATCCTCTTTCTCCCAACAAAATAAAATAAACGAATAAGTACAATATACAAAATAAACTAATTTAAACGGTAATCATTTAACCACTTACCTTACAATACCGTAACAGACCCGTAGCAAAGATTTCAAACAGAATTTAACAAATATAAATATACGTGGGTTGCTACAAAAAGTAATGACTACCGTTCTTCTAAATATTCTCCTTCGATATTAATACATATTCTACTATGTTGTGTTAGCACTTCCTAAACTTAAAAATGTGAAGTTTTCACGAAAATAAACAATTGAATGACAGTAGATTTCCGAAACTTTTGCTGCAACCGACGTAGTATTCAATCCTTTCAACTCCAAATAAAATATTATGTTTCCGTCATTATTCTATTAACATAGAATGATGGATTTTTTTCTTTTCTAGTGAACTATAAACAATAAAATAATTTATTGTAGGTGAGCAAGAAATCATAGCGCAAAGGGTTAAACAATTTGATGTATCGATCTTATCTTTCATTATGTGCAATGATAATTGCTGAAAATGAATTACGTTCCATCGAAATTCGAAAAGATTCGTCGTCAACTTAATTTCAAACAAAATCATTTTGAATAAAATGAAAGAGAAGACCGAATTATTTTCAAAGACAGTTTAATAAGCGACCATCTATCATAGGAACTTCGACAAGCTTGTCACAGTTGCACCGCAATTTTGGTTAATGCCAATCCGATGACTTTTCGATAGTCCTGTGTCGAGTGCAGCGTGTCGAAAGTTCTTTGTGGG